AGAAATATGAAAATGAGATAAAGGAAATATAAGAAATATAAGAAAGAAATAATAATAAAAATATCCGTAGATTATAACTTTGGTTTCCGTTTTGTTTTGTTTTTATTGAATTACTTGTATAATTCCACACAACTCGCACCAAGTTGTCACCAATCATTATTTGGGAGAGCATGTTAATTGATGATAACAATATAAATTTATGATTATGAATTGGCTATTACTAATGAATTAGTTTTATTAGCAAATAATTTTGGTTTAGTGATTTAAGAAAACGTTTTATTTAGTTGAAACTAACTTATTAACTTATTTCTAAGTTAATTTTTATTATAAAAACTTCTTACAAAGTTATTACAAAGTTATTTTACAAGTATGTCAAATTTGTGCTTATATACAATTAATTAATTAGTAACAACTTCATTGCAATCTAGCATTCTAACCACGATATCGCACTTTAATTGCGACATAACATTCTAACCGCGATGCTAATTTCTAAATCAAATTGGTTAATTTTGACGTTATATACGAATAAAAATAAAAACGTAATAAAATAGTAAACATGTAAATAAAAATAAAATAAGAAATGAAAAAATAAGAAATAAAATAAAAATAGAAATAAAAGATTTGATTCGGAATTAGGGTATTTCAACCAACAAATCAACGTGAAATCCTAATTCTGGTAACATTAGTATATTTTATTCATAGATCTTGTCCTTAAAGCTTACTTCAAACACTCCTACACAAATTATTGAATAATTAATAAAATGTTCGTTAGTCCTTAAAGATTACTTTGATCACTCCTACACAAACTATTGAATATTTGATAAAATGTTTGTTAATATATTTTGCAAGTTTCATAGATCTTGACCTTAACACTTTGAACTCCTACACAAACTGGATCTTAATCTTTATTATCATCTTCAAAAAATGATGGTTTGTTGTCATCCTTGCTAATAGTATTATTGTTTAATGTTGCTAAAACAACTACTGATTGATGGATATTCATAATAATTACTAATGAAACTTTAATCAATATAAAGTCAGAAATATAAACAGTCACTAATAAAATACATTTTAGTTTTTGCTGAATCCCATTTACATAAAATTCATATTAAATTTCTATAAAATAGTTTTTTGTGAACCTCTCTAAAACTTATTAACCAATACCCCCATAAAGTAATGACCATATGAAAGCTTAAAATATTCTACACTTCTCATTTATTATCAAGTGATATTAATAAATAATCTGAGCTTTGAAGTGAAAAAGTAATACCATTTTGGATAGCTATGAATTCATGTAGAAAAGACCTTTCAATATGAAAGAGTATTCATTAGAAAGCTTTAATGGAGTATTTTTATTTTACTCTAACAACGAAGTTCGAGTTTATTATAAAAATAACGAGATATTTTAAAAAAACTTCATGTGACACGAATTTCGAATTTATTTTCACATATAAAGCAGCCTCAGGGAAATGTCACACGACTATATTAATAATAATAATAAATTGTTGTTCCGTAAGTAAATAAAAATTCTTATTTCGTTCCACAAAATAAAAATAAATTCTTACGTTTTTATTTAAATATCTTCTCCTGGAGCCTTAATTTCTTTTTCTTCAATTTAAGCATGATATACTACTAAGTTCGAATTCTTTTCTAGTTATTTAATTACAGTTACCATTTATCAAGTCGTTTAGGATTTTACGTTTTCTAGTTAGTTAATTATCATTTGTTTTTTATAACGATTTCTTTTTCTTGAAATTATGCAAAAACTTTGATCCTATTCCGATCAATGCTTTTGACATTCATTCATTCTTTCTTGCGTTATTGCATCTACTCTCTCATCAAAGATTTTATTATCCTTTTTCAGTGCTCATTTTTTCTTTATTTTCAATCCTTAATTAAAATTTTTACAATTTTTTGTAGAGCCTAATAATTTCTTTGATTCCGAGGCACAATTTTACGTTGTTTGCTTTTTTATCTCTGAAACTTATTTTTAGGCTTCTTCAGCCAATGTGGTTAATTATATAATATGTTTATACAGATTCGTGACTATAAACCTGTCACTATACTCTGTGATGTATTTATGAATTATTTATTTATTTATTGCCCTATATCAGATGATTATCTAAAAGAATAGACCAAGCACTATTAATATCATACACATAAGAAAAGAAATTGCAATTGAGAGTAAAACTACCAAGGACCACTCGGCCACAGTTGTATAAATCAAGTATTGAAGTTACAAATACCAAGGAGAATTTACTCACATCTTAAAATAATTCGATCTTACAATATTGGGCTTGCACCAAAGAATTTCGATTATACTTGCTTGGAAAACCATTCACACATGTTACCGACCACCAACCCTTAAAACATCTGAGGAATACAAATGGAGGATCTAAATGAATACAAAATTGGCATTTATTATCATTACGAAAATATAATATTCGAAGACAACAAAGATAAGGACCAGGACAAGGCCAAGGTCAAGGTCAAGGTTAAGGACAGTGTTATTTATTATAATGATTAAAAGATGATTTATGATGATGATACATCAAGTTAAGAAAATTACAACGTTATTTATACATTTTAAAGGTTCTATCATCTAGTTCTCCGATTTCTTTGAAATCCTAATTTATTCTAATTAAATGTATTACTTGAGCCTTCTGTGTAGAATTATTTCCTAAAGTGATACAATCATTTAAATTCCTTCGTTTAAATTAAATCTAAGAATTAAAGATTTGTTACATTTTAGAATGTTAGAATATTTATTTCTCACTGTTTGAGATATTTTCCGTGAGTCAATTATTTTATTGGTAAAATATGAAATTGGACTGGTTTGAATACTTGATCAGTTTTTCCGATTTTATTTGTGTAAACCATTTCCGATTTATTTGTTGATTTCCCGTGATATGTAAAATTACTATTTTACACTATGTCGAATAGTATTACAAATAATAATTCAAATAAGAATTTGTAAAACTCTATGTACAACTGGCCATAAAATTTCTCTTCATTATTACAGTACATGTCTTCCTGTGCTATTAGTTCTATCCTCAACAGATTCTGAGAAGAGTAATATCATATGTTCACGTTCTGCTTGAACAGATTTAATTTGCAACATCAGGTTATGTTATCATCATCTGTAATCCCACCAGTAATACATTGCTTAACAAACTCGACAGCAAAGAATTCAAGTGCTTCATTGAATGTGAGACAATGGCCTTCTCTAGTTAAATTAATTGAGCATGCATGTGTGTGTAATTCTTTTGTTTAGAATTTTGATTAACTGACTCAATGAAAAATACCATTGATTGCCTTTTCCAGTTATAGGGAACAAATGTGCAAAGGCCATCAAGTTTTCTATCTGCATATCAAGACTTCCCCTACATATACCTAATTGGTGGCATTTCAATAGGAATGTTAACACTCCTAACAGACTGGTGAACTGACGGTCTGTCATTGGAATAGTCCAGTCTTTTCTTAAAAAGATCAACTGATAGTCCTACAGTTATTGAAGTTTAAAGCAGTCCATCTTGGTCCATTTCTATAATGAGAAATTTTACCCTAAATTGATATCAGCCCTGAGAAATGGTCTTCTGTTTTCAAATAGAGACTGAAGTATACACTCTTTCTTGAAATTATTAGAAAATTTATGTTTTTTACGTTAACATTGACAATCACAAAAGAATATTTTGCATTATATATACTGACTGTATATATATAAATTTTTCAAAAAAAATTCTTTATTTTTTTAAAAAAATTCTAAATTCTTAAAAATCGTTATATACAAATTTTTCATTAAGATACATTATTTTTTTATGATTTATCATTTTAAATTTTATTATGAGAATAATCAACAATTTATAGATTTGACTATGGGCGATGAAGATAATAATAATCATATTATTAATGAGCAAAATAATGGTATTGATGACTCCACAGAATCATAAACATTATCAATCGGATCTGGTCCTTCAGCAAATATTAATAATATTAATGGTACATCAGATGTTTGTATTTTCTTTAATAGAATTAACAATGGCAGGGCTCAATGTAAAACGTGCAAAAGCATCTTGAATAATAAGCCATCCACAATAACTTTAAGATAACTTACATATCGGTTATTATGAAAATGAAACAGACCATTTTGAAACCTAATTGAGTTATACAGTGCAAGGCACTTAGTCCCTACAACTTTTATTGGTCTTGCAGATCCTTTAACTCCAAGAACGCCAAAAAAGCAAGATGTAATTTTAAGTTAAGACCTTTCTCTACAAAGTTACATCTTCATTTTGTTGATATGTCATGTTGTTGTGGAGGAATTAAGCCTCAAAGTTGCATAAGTTTAACAAATTTACTATGTTAACCCCCAAAGTGACGTATTGCTGAACTAGAATGGTTTGTAAAAAAACAATCATTTTTAATAATACTTACTTATAATGTTCCTCTCGTATTGTTTCTCGTTTCTCCTAATTAATATATAATTATTTAAAAGTGTACAAAGAAATTTTTTTTGGGACGCGAATTATTTTTCGTAAAAAACAATTTATTTTTTAGATGAAGAGTCCAAGACGAGTGAGCCAGGCATTCGTACCAGAAGTGTTATTTGGTATGACATGATAATAAAGGAAATGAGTTATTTATTAATAATAACCAAAAGTATTTTTTTTTTGTATAAATATCTTATTGAAACCAAAACGTGGAGCAAGATTTATCATGCCTTTTAGGAGCAACATTTTGCTAATCAAAAAATTGGTCAACCTTTTTGGTCTTTAAGTCAAGAGGTTTCTATATCATAGTCAATAATGGTTATTTTGTTTTTTATACGTTTTATTCGTTATTTGGATTATTCGTTTTATTTGGGTTTTTTTATTCGAATCATCAGAGCCATTTGTTTTATTCGTTTATTCGAATCATTCGTTTTATTTGCTTTATTCTCTGAGTTGAGCAGACTCGAGTTAAAACTTGATCGAGCTGAGTTCAAGAAAATAGGCTCTTAAATTGTTTTTTAGGTAATAACATAAAAGTATTAGAATTAATCATTCGTTACTTAAAAAAAAATTTTATGTGACGTCAAACTCGAGCTCGACTGGTTCGAAGCTTTACTTGGGTTCCATAGTAAATTTGGTATACATGAGTTTCATATTAATTATTTTTACATAGGAGTAATTCTATATGCTATTTAAAATAAAAGATGAGAAAGTTAAATCACAATAATATTGATGATCCCTGAAATTCTTGGTATGTATTATAATTGCTCACTTTGTCAGTATGCCCTCATATTATTTATAATAATAAGTTGACAGAAGTAATAGTAAATATTAACCTTATCAGGGCATTGATCAAATAATGAGATCGAAGCTCTTAATTTATATTCATTGGCCTTATTGTTTAAGGTTTGACTAATGATTAATTTATTATTTATAATTTATGATTTATATGATATATTTTTACTTATTAAAAAAATTTTTTAAGTAAATGTGTATATTGTAATTTTAACAAGTATGTAAATAAATTTCCAAATCATGAGAGAATCAAGGATTGTTTAATTAAAGAATTGAAATATTCAATAAAAGAATTTGATTTATATGGAAGAAAAATAAATAGCATTTATTTTGGAGGTATAAAATTATTATTTTGTTGCTTTATTATTATAATTATTAATTATCATTATTAATTAATTAATTAAATTAAAATAGGAGGAACACCTAGTAATTGATGATTTTATTCTTAATTCTTTAACTGTTGATTTTTTTTACGATTATTCAATTAAAATTTTTCAATACTATTTAAAAATATACAAGGTCTAGCCCTGGTATGTTATTGATAAATCAATCAACTATTTATTCATCTCCAAAAAATAACTCATTTTTTTTTATAATAAAGCCAAAAACTTTTGAATCAATATTAAATGTAATATCAAAAGAATGTTCTTTATCATCTGACGCAGAGATAACAATGGAGGTTATTATCATTTCAATTGTCATTGTCATTAATTATTTTAAATATTCCCGAGATTTATATTTTATTTTAATAAATACTAAAAAAAGGCAAATCCAACGGTACATTTTCAATTAGAAATATAACATATTCATGTCTAAGACTATCTATATTAATTGGTTGTTATTGATTGATTTAGTCAGCAGAAACAAATAATTTGAGAGAATTTAAATCTATTGGCATAACAAGGCTTTCATTAGGTGTTCAATCATTAAATGATAATGATTTATTAAAATTAGGTAGAGATCATAATTCAAAAGATGCAATTAAAAGTTTAGAAATAGCAAAAAAGATATTTAAAGATAACGTTAGCTTCGATTTGATATTTGGAAGAAATAATCAAAACGTTAGCAACTGGATTAAAGAATTAAAGGTAATATTTAGAACGAATTAATTTAATTATTATTATTATTATTATTATTATTATTACTAAATTTATTTTAATAAATTAGCTAGCTTTAGAATTGGCAGATAATCATCTTTCCATCTATGAACTTACCATAAAACCAGGAACCCCGTAAATATTATTGCTGCTATTCCAAATTTTCCTTCCTTGGCTCCTTAAATTAATTTTAAATCTTTTAAAAAAAAAAGAATTTATAAAGAATATAAATTAGGCAAATTAAAAATACCATCATCAGATAAGATCACTGATATGTATGAATCTACAATTCAGGTAATCTCTTCTTCTTCTTTATTGCCATGATCATCTTTATCAATATTTATTTTTATTTCTATATATATTGTTTTAGATTGCAAAAGAATTTGGATTTAAACAATATGAAGTTTCAAACTTTTATAAAAATTCAAAATATAGTAAACATAATTTTGGATATTGGAATGGTTTGGATTATCTTGGTAAAAAATTCATTATATATATATATACACACTTGATAATTAATTAGTCAATTGATTGACTAATTTATCTATCCATCTATTGGATCAGGAATTGGACCTGGAGCTCATGGTAGATTATATGATATGAAAAATAATAAAAGATTAAGAACTTTTAGAGTTTAGCGAAATATTTATAATTATTATTCATCATTTTAAAAAAATACTATTTTTAATATTAATAGTTTTTTTTTTTTTGAAAATCTCTTAATTTTAGATTTTATATCCTGAAGATTGGATGAAACAGTGTGAAGATTTGGGACATGGGTATAATTACTTTTTTAGTTTTATAAGTAATTTTAATATAATTTTTAATTGCTTTTATTTTCAATAAAAGAATGAGAAAATCAGTTGAGATGGATTTAAAAACTATCAAAGAAGTAGATATAAGAATTTTTTTTTTTAAAAAAAAATATTAAAATTATATAAATTAAAAAGTTTTTTTTTTTTTTGATTAGGAATTGATTGTTTTTGGATTAAGAACTAAACTTGGTATACCCAAGGAAAGATTTAATCTACATTCAGATGGGGAACAATTGGAAGATGTAATATTAATGTTGATAATATTAATTCTACATGTCAATTTGATTATATTAATCTAATTATCTAATTCTAAAATTTTATCAATAATTAAATATTTAATTTTACCAGTTCATAAATGTGTTACAGGTTTCTCAATTGGTAAAAGATGGATTCCTTATTTTTGATGACTATAATGATGTTAAAGACATGGCAATTAAACAAAATAATGATGATGATAATAATGACGATGATGATTATAGAGATTTGATCAATAATTCTTTGGAATTTTTTCAAGAATCTATTAATGGCAGTTTAAGACCTACAAAAAATGGTTTAAGATTAATTGATGAAATTTTGCCTAGAATTCTTTATTAATTAATTATTTTAAAAAAAATTTGCCTTTATAAAAAAATTTAAATAAAATAAAGAACATATTTATTGACCAAAATTTTTAAAAACCAGGGCTAGAAATAGGGCCTGAAAAAAAAAGCGGAAAATTCTCCTGAATTCTAAAAAATTTCCGGAAAGAAAAAGGAAATTCTTTAGGTGCTAAAATTTTAAGGATTTTCTTTATTTTATTCTTCTGAAGAAATTTACTAAGAGCATCACTAAAATCATAATAGAATTGAATCATAAATGTATAACTAACCATTTTTATCAAAAAGATTAATTATAGCATTATAAAGTGTTATAACATTTGATTCTTCCACTTGCAAATGCTTAAGATAGAGTACTTTAATGACTCTCTTATAGCAATACTTAACATATATAATAAAATGTGAATTTGTGAAAATGTCAGTACTTTCTTCAACCATAACTCCAAACGCTTTACAATTTTCCAAGTAACTAGTTCAATAAATTTAGATATTGATTTTAATAATTCTTGTCCAGATTTGTTATTCTCATATGTTATAGAAAATAATTAATAATCAGAAAAGAAACTGATAGAAAAATTAGCAATTGAAAAAATTAATAATCAAAAGATAATAATTTACAATTAAAATAATTCAATATTAAAATGACATTATGAAAAAGAAAATAAAGAAGACAGAAGACTACTCAATGGAGAATACTTAGGAGAATATGAAGAAATTTATTAAAAAATGAAAGGATGTTAGAAAAAGAATATAAAAAATAATAAAGAAAAATTTAATAAATCTAATCAATAAAAATTAAAAATAAAATAAAAAACCTAGAAAAGAAACGACATGCAAAATTAATACCCTTGCATGCAACATATTATTGGACAAAAATACATGATTTTAATAGAAATGATCAACAATCAGAAAAATATATAAATAGAGACACAAAAATTTCAAGAATAAGTACAACAAACAAAAATGGGAATATTTAGAAAATTATGGAATATATTACTAATCAGATTAATAATAATAACAATAACAACAGAAAATTATAAAGAATTAGGAATATTAATAGTGATAAAGATAATAGAAATGTCAATAAGACTATATTACAAAATGAAAAGAATAACTTATGAATTCATAGAAAAAGAAAAAGAAAACTTCATACAGGATGTCCTTGAAGCAAACAAGGATAATGAAGAATTGCAAAATTTACTTAGAATAAGAAAATTTTCCACAGAAATGACTAATAAAATAGAATAAAATAGAATAAAATAGAATAAATATTACTAATCAAAAAGAAGGAAAAAGAACAATTTAAATTAACTATAAAAAGAATATCGAAATGAAGTAGGAATCTTCACTCAAAAAAGAATAGGAACATATGAAAATAAAAAGTAAAGAAACCAAAAAAGATAATAAATCTATTGAACAAATTGAACCTTACAAAACATTTAGAGAAAAACAAGAACTTATAAAATTATTAAACAAAGAATTAAAAGAATTAAAAGAAAAACTAAAACAAACTTTATTCAAATTACAGAAAGAAAAGATCAAAAAGAGATATCTAACTAAAGAATTAAAGGAAAGTAAAGAACAGAATAAAGCTTTAGAAAAACAACTAAAAAGTTTACAAGAATATTTTAGTATATGATAACAAGAAAAATATTGATTATCATCAAGAATTTCCAGAATAATAAAAATTGTCACTTCCAGATTTAACAAGTTTTGTAAGATCAGTTAGAATATTACAATTTCAAAGAAATTCACTAAGAGAAAGAAGTAGAACTTTAACAAGAGAAAACAAAGATTTAAAAGGTGAAAGAGCATTATTAACACAGAATAATCAAAATTTATATCAAAGTAATCAAGCTTTAAGAAATAAAGTATAAAAGCTAGACAATTTAGAAAGAATGGCAGCAATTTATAATAAAGTACAAAATGAGAATTACATTCAAAGAGATATAGACAAGTGGAATAATCCAATAATAGATTTAAAAGAAATAAAAGAATATACAGGAAGACAAAGTGAAACAGATGGATGGATAAGAATAATAGAACAAATATTTGAAGCATATCCTCAGTTACCAAAAGGAAATGAACCAAATATGAAAGCAGATGGAACACCTTTAGATGGAAATGCATTGGCAGATGAAGATGAACCAGGAATAGCATGGACAACTACAAGATTAGCAAACCGACCAAGAAATGATACAAATTTATCAAATGTACGAATAAATAGAATGTTAGATGGAGCAATAAGAATAAATGCAATACTAACAAACAATGGAGCAAACTTCTCAAGAATGGCAGGACAAACAGGAAGACTAAATGGTACATTTGACGGACCAGTAAATGATTGCCAAAGATCAAAACAAATTATAGAACAAATAGCAACAAAATTTAGAGGAGAAGCAAAGATAGCATGGGAAGCATTAGGAATAACAGAAAGACCTAGAACATGGCTTGAACATCAATTTAATGGAGCAGCAGCACCAATTGGAATGAAACAATGGATTATAGAAAAATTCTTAGGAAGAACATATAAACAAGAAAAATATGCAGAATTTATGAAACTAAATATGGAAAAATCCAAATATAAAAGCAGTATGACAGAATTCAATATTCATTATAATAATATGATGAGAGAATCAGGATCAAATACAATGTTAAGAGAAAATGCAATAGATCATTATTTAAATAGAATACCACCTTGGATAGAAAAAGAATGCAGAAGATTGATAACTACAAAGAATATAGCAGGATATCTTTTAGAACAAGTAGATAGGAAATTTAATATATCACAAGGGATTACAAAGAAAATGGCATATGCAATAAGAAAATATCTAACAGGAACAGCAAAAAAATTCATTGGAACAAAATTAAAAGAAGTATTAGCCAATTATGTAATAGATAATACATTAAATCTGATAGAAAAGATTGCAATACCAGATCAAGTATTGGAAGACTATAGAAACAGATTTTTACAATATATCTTGAAAAAGACAAATATAGTAATAAGGAATTTTGCAGAATTAAGAGAAATTTCAAATATAAAAACTCAAGAAGAATTGAAAGAATTTATAGAAGAACTCCTTGAGAAAGAAGATGAAATTAATGAAGAAATAGAAGAATTAGGAGAAAATTGGGGAATAAAAATAGAAGAATGGATGAACCCTGAATCAGAAGAATTTGACAAAGAAAGAATGCAAGAATTTGAAGAACAAATAAAAGAATCTATACAAATTTTTAATTATTTAAACCCATTTAGACAAAGTTTTAAAGAAAGATACAATATACCAGAAAATCTTCAATTTAGAAGAAGAGAGGACAATACATGGAACCAAGATGAACCAATTAATATATCAAGAGAGCAAAAACAAATACCATGGTTAAAGAATAACACATTTGTTAAAGGAACAATTACTTCATGGCCTAATCAACCACCTATCCTTACAAGGAATGTAATGGGAAAAGAAAGTGATACAGAAGAACCACCACCAACATTTACAGAGGAACCAAAAGAAACAGAAAAGCAAATAGAATTTAATCCAATAACCCCACAAACAACAGATGACAAAAATAACCAATTTTATAATAGAGAAAAAGAAAGAGGAAAATATTCAAAAAAGAAATACTCAAGAAAGGGTAGAAAACAAAGAATTCAAGAACAAGGAATAGAATATAGCAAAAAGGAACATACAAGAAGAGATCCTAGAGGAAAACAATCAACAACCACTGTGATAAGAAGAACTCAATCACAAACCTCATCAACAAGAGCAACAGTACCACCAAGAATCAGAATCACCTTAGGAAATAGAGCAAATACATTTCAAAGATTATATCAATCAGGACAAAGAGGAAGTACATTTACTGCAATAGGAAGAATAAATAACAAAGATGTTAGAATTTATTTTACAACAGAAAGAGATTTTGATTTAATATCAAGTAGAAGTTTAGCCCGACAAATAGGAGGAAGTAATATAACATTAAATGGAGAAGATCAAACACTAGTAAGGGATGGATTACCAGTAGAAATATCAAATACAATGAATATAATTGAGAAGAAGGCAGATGACGAAGTAATAATAGAATTTGAATACTTTATATTGAAATTAGAAAAAGTGTTTATATCAGGAGCACAAACAACAGAAGATTATATAACCATAGGAAATAGAACAATGAAAGAACACCAAATGCAATTTGATTTTTGGAAAAATCAATTCAGTATATCAAACCCATTACATCAACCAAGTCAAGAAAAAACAAGATTATATGCAAAAAATATTTATGATAATACAGAATTTGCAAATAATTTAAGCCTATCAGAAATGGGATATCAGACACAAGACTCTGAATCAGAATCAAATCTTTCTAATATAGAAATGATGGAAGAATATCTTGAAGAAGAAAAAGAATATAAAAAACCAAAGCATGATGGAAAAAGATTTGTAATAATAATTTTAAAAGATGAAGATGGATGTTGGATTTCAAAAAGAACCAATAAAAAGAAACCATATTATAAATTATGGCAATTTCCAGGAGGAAAAGTTGAAGAATATGAAACATATAAAGAAGGAGCAATAAGAGAATTACAAGAAGAAACAGGAATCAAAAGAGACAAAAAAGAGTTAGAATACATATTTACAGATAGATATGAAGGAATAACTTGTCAAATATTCATGATAAGACTATATAAAGAAAAGCCACAGCATTTGGAAAAGGAGAAAATGACAGAATGGAGGAAAATAGAAAATAAAGAATTAGAGTCATATAAAATGACACCATCAATAGAAAAAAATAAAGACTTAATTATAAAAGAATTGAATAAGGAAGAAATATTTGGAACACCACCAAGTTTTTAAGAAAGTCTTACCATATGTATAATATGGAAGACGTAAAAGAAAATAATAAAAAAGAAGAATATCTAGTAAAAGAAAAATTTACACAAAAATATGATGAAATAGAAAAAATGAAAGAACATAAATCAATAAGGGAGATGACAAATGAAGAATTTTTGTCACAATTTAAAAACCTACCAGAAATAAAAGAATTTAAAGATTTATTAATATAATACAAAGGAATATTTGCTACATCAGAAAAAGATATAGAACAAGTACCATGAAATATTGCAGAATTTTCAATATCATTTAAGGAAGGAATGCAACCAAAGGATATGGACATAAATGAACAAGAAAAGAAAGATGTGAATATACAAGAATCCTTAACTAAATGGTTACAAAATCAAATAAAAGCAGGATATTTAATGAAAGTAGAAAGAGGAAATAAACTAGGAATAGAACAATTAGAATTTGTGTGTAACCTAATATATGTAGAGAAGAAAGGAAAAAAGGAGCTGACATTGCCAAAATATGACTAGAGTAAATGAGTGTACATTGCCACAATCACAAAGAATAGGATACCTAGAAGCACAATTAAAAAATGCAATGGGATATAAATATTACTCAGCAATGGATATTAGAATGGGATTTAATAACTTATGGATAAAAAAGGAAGACATTTACAAGACAGCATTCAAATGCATACAAGGAATATATGTGCAATTAGTCATGGGATTTGGATATAAAGATGCACCAACTGTATTTCAAGAAACAATGGA